GAGACACATAGAGACACAGAGAGACACAGAGAGACACAGAGAGACACAGAGAGACACAGAGAGACACAGAGAGACACAGAGAGACACAGAGAGACACAGAGAGACACAGAGAGACACAGAGAGACACAGAGAGACACAGAGAGACACAGAGAGACACTGAGAGACACAGAGAGACACAGAGAGACACAGAGAGACACACAGAGACACACAGAGACACACAGAGACACACAGAGACACACAGAGACACACAGAGACACACAGAGACACACAGAGACACACAGAGACACACAGACACACAAAGACACACACAGACACACACAGACACACACAGACACACACAGACACACACAGACACACACAGACACACACAGACACACACAGACACACACAGACACTCACAGACACACACAGACACACACAGACACACACAGACACACACAGACACACACAGACACACACAGACTCACACAGACCCACACAGACACACACAGACACACACAGACACACACAGACACACACAGACACACACAGACACACACAGACACACACAGACACACACAGACACACACAGACACACACAGACACACACAGACACACACAGACACACACAGACACACACACAGACACACACACAGAAACACACACAGACACACACACAGACACACACACAGACACACACACAGACACACACACAGACACACACACACAGACACACACACAGACACACACACAGACACACACACAGACACACACACAGACACACACACGGACACACACACAGACACACACACAGACACACACACAGACACACAGACACACAGACACACACACACAGACAGACAGACAGACAGACAGACAGACAGACAGACAGACAGACAGACAGACAGACAGACAGACAGACAGACACACAGACAGACACACAGACAGACACACAGACAGACACACAGACAGACACACAGACAGACACACAGACAGACACACAGACAGACACACAAACAAACACACAGACAGACACACACACACACAGACACACACACACACAGACACACACACACACACACACACACACACACACACACACACACACACACACACACACACACACACACACACACACACACACACCACACACACACACACACACACACACACACACACACACACACACACACACACACACACACACACACACACACACACACACACACACACACACACACGCGCGCGCCCACGCGCATCCACAAACGCTGCGTGCGTGCTGGCACAAGTGGCGGTTCACCAAAACATGGGGGGGTAGCAATCTAGGACAGATAGCGAACTCTTGGAAAGCATTGGCAAGGCTCTGGCATGAAAAGGCCGTTGTGTGTGCTCTGGTTTCACAGGATGCTGTGGATGTTGTCACAACCCACACTTGAACCTGTGCTAAAGGGCATGTTGTCACAAGCCACACTTGAATCTTTATTGGTTGATGTTGTCGCAACCCACTTTTGAAGCTTTACTGAACAGAATCCCCATGAACCTTGATTGATTGTTGTCACAATCCACCCGTGAACCTTTACCGAGCAGGGTGTCGTCACAACCAACACTTGCAGCTTCACGGATTGATGTTGACTGTTTTAGCTGCCACAACACAGAGTTATCTAATACGAATTCGTTCGCTCAAATTCTGCTTGATCAGTTTTTTGCCGCCGTTTGCTGATTTCGTTGGCCAGCGCAGTGAACTGAGAAGATGGACGGCTTGATTCATGGCGCCTCGCGTCGGTGTGACCTTGGCAGCGCCGGGCGCAAACGTGTTGGAACTTCTGCCGCAACGCAGATGCGGGTGCTGCAGGGCTGGGGCAGGCTGGCCTCAGCCTGCCCGAGCTAGCCCCAGCTGGCCCCAGCTTGCCGAATTCTCTTGCGGTTCTGCTGGCCAACGCTGTCCTTGCCAGTTGGGCCGTGCGCGGCGCAGTCTTTGAATAAACCCGTGCCGCTTGGGGGGCTAAGAGGTAAAAACTGAGTCAACATAGTTCCCGGCAGGATGTGATGCTAAAAAGGCTCAGAGATCTGAGGCAAGGGCCAAGAAGCCACCAAAGAGGACAGCCTGGCAAAGGCACAGCTTACTCAAGGAGCAGCGCCCAAGACTTACTGACCTACACGGTTAAAAAGGTCTTTGTAGCCTTCACCATTCGTCTTGTGGAGCCAAGCAGAGCCCCTCACTGAATGGGCCGCAATCTGTTTCTTCTCTGTGTTCAAGTTCGGGATCTGTTGCGTAAGGGCCTTACGGCCTTGCAACACTTGTTTACATTCACACAGTCAGTAATGTACAAATGTTTGAGGCGCATGCCTTGGCTCCCTATCCAGAGGTTTTTGCTCCAGCCTACCTCCAAGCCTGTCGGGCCCCGATTTGGAGCCTCGCGGAGTACTAGCGTAAAGCAGCGTGTGCAAGCGACCGGCTGCGCACGCGGGCTTCTGCAGCTAGGGGGGAGGGGTGTGCTAATCCATGTAGCCGGCATTGCAAGCCAACAGCAACGTGGTAAGGGCAATATTTTTCGACCGCTTTGAGGCTGCGCAGTTAGTCAACCTGGCGCGTGTGAAATGCGCGGTGGCAATAAATCAGCGATCAGATCTGTATTTACGGGCAGGGGGCTGCGCTGAAGTCACAAAAGAGCCGCAACGTGTCAAATCTTGAACTCGAGGACGTTTGCAGAACATGGACGAGGACGTTGTGTGTTTCAGATTCCAAACGCCCTAGATTCAACAGTGCAAGTCGGAAAGTTAGCTGTTTGAGGCACGGAAGGCAACACTGTAGCACATTACGTGATTCTGCAGCGCTCGCGGCGTCTCGACCGCAAAGGGGACGCACACAAGAATTTTGGCTAACACTTTGATTGCCTCCCAACCAGAAGGGCCCTTCAACTCAGCGACCAAACCCTTTGCCCCACCCTCATTTCGGTCAATTTTCAGTTTGCCGTTCCGAGCTTAACATCCAGGAAAGATTCTGTGTCCCTCCTGGGGCTTCCCAGTCCCTACATCTTCACCTTCCAAGGGGGGGGAGGGCTTGGGCCAATTTAAGTACAACCCCAAACTCTTCAGGTACGAGCCCAAACCCCTTACGTCCCCAACTCCTCGCAACCCAAAAAAGCTTAAATACAGGGTTTTGTTTGAGAGAGCTCTTGTTCTCCCCTGCTGCTCTCCAGTAAAAAAATATGGCTTTTGGCTGTTTCAAGCTCTATTTCTGTCAGGTGCTTTAAAAAACGTGTCAAATAAGGATTTTTGTCTGAAACGATACAGGGGCTCCTGTCCCCTCGCCGAGATGATGTTGTAATCTGCTTAGCCCTGAATTCAGAATGTGCTTGAGGCACAGGGCGGTGGCAAATGAGAAAGGTCGCTGAGTTGAAGGGTTCTTCTGGCTGGGCGTTGGTGGCAATCAAAATGTTGCCCGAAATCATGCCGCGCGTCCCCTTTGCGTTTGGGATCACGTTGGGGGCGTCGTTGGGCTCGCGGCCAGAACATTTGCGCCCCCCCTGCGGCTCTGGCCTGTACAAGCTTCCTGTTGCGGGCCACTGAACATGAGCTGCTGCAACCCACTTGCTTGCTCACGTCAACAATTTTGATGGGTGAGCGCCCAAGAAGGCAGTCGAGCGCGAGTTTGCTCGGTCTACCGAATTTCAAGTCTGGCGCTGCCCCGCCTGGATCTGGATCACGGACATGCGTAAAGCCAACCACTGTGGGCCGTGAAAGGACGTGAAGATTCGCTACTTGGCTGCGAAGCTCCGTCACTTGACTGTAGCAATCCGTGAAAACCAATGAAAATGCGGCATGGCCCCGAAAGCCCCAAAAAAGCTGCGGTTGCAGTTTGGCGTTCAAGGTTTCCCGTGTGAGCAATCCCTTCCATGCGCTCGACAAAACAAATTAGCGGGCAATTTTTCAATAGCGGGCGGATCCGCCTCGCACGCACTGCGCTTGCGTCCGAATTTGCGCCTGAGGGCGCAGGCACAGTCGCAGGCGGTAAACGTCGACAACCTTGCGTTAGCTAATTAAGCGGACCTTTTGCACTGTGGGCTCGATGGTTATAGGCGAAGTTCCGAGACATGCGTGTTTACGGGCATGTCTGCCGTCATGTAGCTGGCTGGAAGTTTGAAGAATGTGCAGCGACTGCTCCACGCGTCAAAGTTCGCATCCAAGGAGCCCGGCTCCCTTTGACCCCAATGTTGGGGGGCTCACCCTTTAAGCTTTCCTTTCCAACTTGTGGATCAATGGGTGGCCTCTGTGTTCGGGAACCCTGCAATGGCGCGCACGTTTGCAGCTGCCACTTATCTGTGTTTGGAGGCAAAAGCGGCCTTGGAAAGCCTTAGTTTCGTTGTTTTGAAGGAACTTTTGAAAGGCTCACAACAAATCAGTAGCGGCCAATAGTTGTTAGGAGAAGGCCAATGTGTCGGCGTAGTTCAGGTGTGGCACCATGCAAATACGCACGATTTCCATCATGTTTTGGGTATTTCAGAGAGCTCAAAACAATTGGTTGGGAAGCGCGTTTCCGAATGTGAGAGTCATAAGAAGAGCCGCGTAAGCACTGTTCAAAAAAACCGAGCAAATTGGTGAAGAACCCGCAATGCCATGGTGTTCCAGCAGGCGGGTTTCACTGGCCTGGCGGCTTTAGAAGTTCGCGAAGCGAATCTAGGTGGCAGTTGCGAACAGCCAGCAGCAAGCGGCGCAGGCGGCCGAACTGCTTCTAGCCCCCGCTCCCAAACAGGTGATATTCTACTGGTTTGCACTTGACCGCGACTCAACCTAAACATGCGCCTTTCTTTAGTGAACTGGCAGTTCGTTACTCAATCATTGGGCAGTGACAGATCGATGATGACAAAAGACTCAACCATAGATGTAGTAGAACGCTCTCTGCCACCGTTCGAACCTTGAATGGTTTTCACCGGCCTCTGCGCCGTCGCACGCCGGTGATAAAAACGCTGCGGATCGCCTAGCGCAGGGCTGCTGTGAAAAGGCAGGAGAGTTCCGGCCACGTGTTTCCGCTGCTCCAAACCGCCACCCTCCAGGGGAAGGGGACTTTGAGCACCATGCGCGAGAGCGATTCTACGCGCCTTCTGCCGAAACGATTGGTTTTCACCCAAACCCGGCGACGCAGGAGAACTAGCACCCCGGCAAAAAGGCGACATGAGCCCTCCGCTGTAGTTCGCTAAGAAGCACGGCAGCGCCGTCATTGTCCTTCGGCTTCGGCGCCTTCACATGAATGTGCAAACAACTTCGGCATCGATAATGCGCATCATTATGCAGTAGGGTTTTCTCATCTTGGCAAGACAGTCGGAAATCATGAGTCAAAGCGTCTGTCTAATGGAGTAGATCTCCGCCTGGATTGTGTGGAAGGGGTGGCGAGCGAGTCCACCAACACATGACAGTCACTAACCCAGGCAAGCGTAACCGTCTTCCTGCAAGACTGCTCTCATTCTCGGTGCTTTGTTTTGCCTGCGTCTCAGCAATCAATGCATCTTCAAGCCGCTTTGACAAGTGCAACTGCCGATATTTGTTATTCGTCTTCAAGTACTCGTGTTCGTCTGCGCCGACCCACTGGGCCAGTGTCAGTCCCTCTTGGGGACTCACAGGCGTAGGGCCTAGTGTTTCACTTCCTTCCTTTGCCGTTACCCTTATAGTTATGGCCATTCTGTGGCGATTGATGCTTGCATTCCTTGTTTGGCATGTGGGAAAACGCAGCCCAAGTGCTGCGCTGTGTGCCTGGCCTTCTGCCCACCTTGGGCAAATTAGGGAATTTGTTTGCTTGGCGCTTCTCTGAAGCCTCTTTTGTGCCGCGAACTTTCTGCTTGTCGACCGGCGATTGCGCTTCAGGCGGCTTGGGGGAAAATCGCGGGTAAAGACGTCCATGACCACCAGGCGTACCTAGTCTTCAGCTTGTGATCAGCATCCAAGAGAACGCGCAATTCTTCCCGGCGCGTTGCCCAGTAGGCTCCTCCGAGCCTGTCGATAGTCCTTGGCCGTATGCATAGCCGGGCGGGGGAGTTGAAATGAAGCCCCAACCCTTCTGATAAGCTGACAAGAAGAAGCCCGGGTCATGCCAGGCTGGCTGGGGCATATCGGGGAAGCTTTCCACGACCTCGAAAACTGTGTTTTTGGCCTTTGTGCCCTTAGCCAAAAGGTGCACCGCCGCGGCCCAAGCCATTTGCTGCGCGTGTTCTCTTGCGCAACTTGGTGAGCGTGTTCTCTCGCGCAAATTTGCTGCACGTTCTCTCTCGCGTCACCAGCTGCGCGTATTCTCTCTTGCAGTTTGCTGGGGGGGGGGGGGGTTTTCTCGTGCAATTTGCTACGCACGTCCTCTCGCGCAACTTGCTCTGCGTGCCGAGCTCCTGCGTTTTGCTCTGCATGTGCTCTCGCCCGTCCTGCTGCGCGTGTACTGTTGCGCATCTTAGCTCGAGGGATTGAAAAGTGGCACCCAGGTCCGGCAAGGGATCACCAACATGTGTTGATGGGGGTTCCCCATCGAACGTCCTCCCCAACTCGCTTGAATCATAATCAGCACCTGGTGCATTTGGGGTCTACCAAAAACCCTAGCGAAAAGCTGTGGCTCAGCTGGAAGCCGAAGTCAAGAAATGAAGGACCAAAGCAAAAAAGCAGTCCACTGGCCATGCGAAGGGTTCATGGAAAGTACTCAAACCTTGGTAACGAGCGGCTGCCAAAAAGAGATAGTGACCCGCCGGGCGACCTTGGACTCGCAAACCCCGCGCTGCTCAAGTTCGGAGCAAAGGTTGCGCCGTGTGAACCCTTTGTTGTTGTCGGGGACAACCGGGCTGCTTCCTGCTGCTGGTCGTTCTGGCAAGCTTAGGTTCTCCAAGATTGGGATAACGCAGCCCGGTCCTCGGAAACGCGGGCCGGCCTGTCGTACGTTAGCGTAAACGAGAGGTCGGCCACCAACACCTCGCCCAAACTTGCAACCGACTCTTGGCCGCTCCGATGCATCCAAAAGACTCAATCCTAGCTTGATAGAGCAAGGAGACACTTCGCTGGCAGCCCCACAAAAGGAAGCAGACTGATCCGCCGGCCTTTGCAAGCGTGGGCATCAAGCTTCTCATGGCATCAGGCGTTTGGCTACCTATTGCCGAGCAGTCTTGCGGAGATGCAACACATGTTGGGATGCTATGACTTTTTGTACATAGGGTTTGCATGTCAAGCACTTGTGATGCTGCGATGCGTAAATCCGCCGACACTGTTCGGCGTGTCGGACCCCCCCCTCCCTCCCCCCCCCCCCCCTCCCCCACGTGCCGCGCGGCAATTTGATGCCGCCTCTCTGTTCCAGCTCAGGTTTTGCGCTTCGTTTTGCTGAAAACATCGAAAAAAACACGGTGTTTTGTGCTTCCCCTTTGCTAAAACCATTGAAAAGCACAGTGTTTTTCGACTTCCTTGACCACCTTCTTTGCGCCACTTGTAGAGGGAATGCAGATGAGTTAAGCCTCGCCTGTAGCAATAACTCTTTACCCCCCCCCCCCCAATTTCCCCCAAATTTCCACCCAACTTTCCCCCAACTTCCCCCCAATGTCCCGTCAATTCCCTCAAATTGCCACCCACCAATTGCCACCAATTTCGCCCAACGCCCCCCCACAATTTCCCCATAATTTTCCCGAAAATTCCCCTTGATTTCCCACCAATTTCCTCCCCCAATTTCCTCCCAATTCCCATCCGACTTGCCACCAATTTCCAAGAAAATGAAGGGGAAATGAAGGGGCAATCACGGGGGTAGATAAAGAGAGAGAGGATGGAGAGGAGAGGGAGAGAGGGAGAGAGGGAGAAAGGGAGAGAGAGAGAGATTACAAAAGAAGCCAAGAGAAGGGAAGATAAGAGAAGATAAGAGAAGAGCAGCGCAGCAACAGGAGGAGAAGAAGAGGTCAATGTCGGCGGACTGAGCCGGAGGCTCTAAAGTTACCTGCACGCGGACAAGCACGTTGGTGTTAGAGTCGGGTGATGCTTTTGAGATCTCCTGGCGAAGGCCCAGGTGCAAAGAATGTTGGGATGCCATTAGTTATGTGGCTTTGACGACATTTCTGTTTGGGGTTTGGGTGTCACGTTGGAACCTGGGATGCTCGGATGTGTGGTGTGGTTTTCTGAATTTGGGCGGGCAAGAAGCAGCGGCGTGCTTGCTGGACGTGT